TAGATCTTGTTAAACGTTTGATAGTTACGCTCAGATGTGCTGTAAACATTCCCACATCAACTTTTCAATATTTTCCTTGAAGTTTAAGTGCAAAATTTGTGTTCAGAAAGAGGTAATTCATAATTTTAAAAATTACATTTTGGTCACGTGACCAACTACGAACTCACTCATTTTAAGAAAATGGTGCAGGTTTGAAAAACCAAATCACTATTATTTTGTTAAAAATAAGACCCACTAATCGTTTTTGAAGAAAAAACCACATAACTTTCATTTTCATAAAACAATGTCACATGACCTCTTAGTGCAAATGGCCTATTACACCTTCAGGTATTTATAGCAATAAAAGGGGGTGGTAGGCCGACACGACTTTTACTTTATGCCAAAATGCTGCTTGTTCCCATAAGTTTTTTTCCTCTGCAGGGTTGGTTTTTCTCTGGAAGGTTCTGCATTTTCACAGAGCAAATGTGATTTTAGCCGCTTGTTTCACACTGAGAGGTCATAGCACACATCGATTTACTGTGGTTTTTGTTTCTGGTCGACGCGATTTGCCCTCTGATGCAAGAGCATTTTCTTTGCCCCCTTTTGAAGCGTAAAGCTTTTTATTGCGGCTGAATAAGGGTCTTACTTTTCTCCAAAGTGCCTTCTCGGTCTGAATAAGTAAGCGATTTTCTTTAGTCCGTGAATGTAATGTTTTTGTGCAATGTTGTATTCTGACGCTGGGCCCAGCTCTTTCGTTTTCTTTGCAGACTGTTCAAAAATTATCACGAATAGTTATTTACAGATCCAAAATTATAAGATTTAAGTGCAGCTTAAACCGAAGTTACATCAGCTATGGAGAATTGCATTGTGCTTCGGTAACTATAAACTCCAGCTTAGGGTTTTTTTAAAGACAGTTTGAGTCTTTTGACCGGAGCGCGTAGTTCCTCCCCTTGTATAGTCTTTGGACTGTTTTGTTATTGCCACTCTGTGATCAAATCGCGTGCTACGTGCCGAACGAAAAGCCGATGTCAATCAGACCAGTCAACAGTCAGTGTTCTCGCCAATAGGAGCTTGCATCAGGATCTGATGCATAGCGGGTACCGTGGAACGGCGGTCCCAAATGTTTGTCTACAGGCCTTTTCGCTTTTCCCTCTCCCCACCCCGCTCGACCAAAGGCCTGTTAACAACTGCCCAGCATCTGTTCGCAGCATACTCAGAATTTGAAACCTCTAGTTATAGGTCCATATTTATTCATATATCAGATATGCGTCTTGTTATTTGTTGCTCACAGTTTATAATATATTTTTGAGGTACCGGTATTTTCTTGTAGTGAAATAAAGTATGTTTTGTTGCCAGCTTATTACGAAACGTTTTTTTTAATCCGCTGAAAAGTCCTCAGGATATAAGGCCACTCGCAAAACCTCTTAATGTATAAACCCATGCAAAACTTATAACCGGAATTATAATCATTTCATGATACTAAATGCAAATCTAAAAATGTTTGAGGAGCTCATTAAAAACCTAATAAACTCTATGTTCTATGGGTAATAGGCAACTAATTCAAATACAGTCTTTTTCATCACTATATTGATGTCACAATATTTGAAATCAGTATGTATATAATTTACAAAAATTAAAAAGCTACAACAACCGCTTAAATTCTAATACAAGTTAATACACCTCTGAAATTCTGCACTTCAGCTATTCATGCCAGATAGAAATAAAGAAAGGTTACAATTAAACTTTGGTTTCAAACGGCTACTTGTATTAAAATGCTATTAAATGTTATTAAATGTCCGGCCGTACCACAGGGTCTAGAGGAGTTTCGTGTGAATAAATAGATTACTTAATTAAGTCTCACCTTGAAAAATGTCTATACTTGTCGCTTAGCACGATTAATTAGCCCAATGGGATCTTTATGAATCTACTGTAAACGATTTCTTCGCTTCTTATCTGACCCAGATCGACTTTGTTGTTCGCCATTTTGAAAATCAATAACCGCAAGCCATAGCCTCGCTGGCGCACGTCAAAAAAGAACTGAGGTCGACTGGGTGTAAACGTCTTTATTCCAACTGATTTTCACCATGTTTTCCTTTGTCGCAAGCCTTGCGTTTGTGATCTTTTGGAGCTTAGAAACTCGCCATTATATGGTTCAAGCGACGTTTGATTCTGACTGCAAACTTGCGGGTTTAAAAACATTGGAGAAAAATGGAAACAAGTCTTCGGTGATGAAGTTAAGTTCTCAGATTCCTTCTTCAAGAATCCTGACCCATTCCTGCACCGTAAAGACAAACGAAACTTGACTTTCTATGAATGTTACAGAATTTTTCTTTCCTGGACCTTTGTATTGTTGCATTTCAATAAAAACCATAAACAACCAAACTTAAAGTGTGTTTTATTGATGACTTGATCATAATAACAATAACAGTAAACTTGTGCAATAAATAACAAATCTGAAATTTGAAATACCAATTACTAAAGGAAGAACAAAACTTTTCAATTAGGCACTGTTATTTGTGATTACACTTAATAAAGATGATGATTCCAATATTAAAAGCTGTTGGGTAACTAGCGACGCGCGACACCCACGCGTGTTTACGAGAAAAAAGACAGATGTCTGAAAATGGCCCGTTTGTCTCCTTTTGTCTCTTTTGGCCTGGTTTTGGCCTTTCTGGCCTGGTTATGGCCTTTCGGGCCTGTGTTTGGCCTTTCTAATAATCTGTATAACCTGACTAGTTGCGAAATAGTAGTCATTTGTGTTCAGCCATCGAACTGTCAACAGTTTTTTGAACATGGTTTACAAGAGAGTTTGCAGAAACTGTCCGATTTCATGGGGCGGGGCGAAGTACCTTGTCAGATTAGCTAACCATCTCGCGGATGTTCATCAGTTA